CGACGGCGGCGGGCTCGGCGGCGGGTTGGGCGGCGGCGGCGGCGGTGATGTGCAGCTTGTCCCGTTGGCAACACACATCGAGGTAGGCGCGAGGCAGATGTGGCCATTTTCACAGCAGCTGCCGCTGTCCGGGTTGACGCAACCGGTAGCGGTTCCGTTTGGCGCCATGCAGCACTGCTCCACGATGCCACAGGTGATGTGGACAGGGCCCGGACAGCGGACCGACTGGCCGGCCACGGCAGGTGGCATGGCGACAGCGGCAAGGACCATGACAAGAGCCATGGCGAGCAGATGACCCATAGACATGGGCAGGATGAGTAAGGGAGGGGGGACGGGGATGAGTGTTTGTGTGGAGGGGGGGGGGAGGGGGGAGGGGGGGAGGGGGGGGGGGAGGGGGGGAGGGGGGCTGGCTATGCGACATGGCTTCCGCGCCCAGCCACACGCCCCCTCTCCCACCCTCCCTCCCTCCCCACCAACATCACCACCACCCCACCCCCCTCCACCGACGACGGGCAGGCATGTCCATGGCGGAGAGTGTGGGCCAGAGTTTGGGCAAGGCTGGAGGAGGGAGGGGGTCGCCAAGGCGGAGCCGGCCGCTGCGGTTGGCGCCACTGGGGGGGACGGTGCGGAGGCAGGGCGTGGACGGCTCATCACGGCGGCAAGGGGGAGGCGGCGGCGATGTGGAGGATATGCAGGCGGTGAAGGACGACATCGAATCTATCCATGCCTATGTCGACGCTCTGGGCGAGTCGACGCCCGAGGCCAGCGCCGTCGGCGTCAAGCTGCCCGGCTCGAGGCTGGCCAAGGTTCCGCAGCGGCTGCCGATGGTCGGGCCGACGTCGGCACAGCTGTACCAGCATCTGTCGCTGCTGGTCCTCGCTGCCACCGATGCGACGGCACGGGTGGAGCTGGCGTCGGCATCGGTGGCGGCCGGGTCCGGGTCAGGCGGCGGCTCGCGGGCGGCATCGCTCTCGCCGTTCAAGCGGATCATGTCCGGCCGGCCGTCGGGCTCGGGCAGGCTCACCCTTTTCTACGCCATCATGCGGCGGATTCTCTCGCTGCGGCATGCGCTCGAGGCCGAACTCGCCGAGCGCCGCAGGCTGGAGGTCCTGCTCCGCGACGCCAGCGCCCGTGAGGCCGCCGCCGCCTCGGCCAAGAGCTACGGCGTCGACCCGGTCGCCGAGCTTACCCGGAGGCTGGAGACCGCCTCGGCTGCCAACGCCTCGCTCCGCGCCCAAATCGAGGAGCTACGCGCAGAAATGGCCCACGCCAAGGACGCTGTCATCGCCCACGAGTCCCGGCTTGCGGCGGCCGCTACGGCGGCGCGCACAGATGGCAAGCATCGCAAGCGCAAGTCCCGCCCAAAGCCGGCTGTCCTCAACGCCGAGGCTCAGACAGAGCCTGATCCGGTGATAGCGGAGCTCGAGGCTACGCTGGCGCGTGTCCGCACTGAAGCAGACACCGCCGCTGCTGACGCCGCTGCCCAGGTGGCGGCCTCGTCTGCCGCGTCTGCCGCTGCCGCCGACGAGGCTGCCACCGCGCAGGCCCGCGCCCAAGCCTCAGCCAGCGAGGTGCTGCGTGTCCAGCGCGGAGCGGCAGACGATGTCGCTGCCGCCAATGCAGCGGCCGCAGAGCTGCGACTCCAGCTTGCACACGCACACTCGGAGCTCGCCGCTCTCCGCGAGCACGCTGACGCAGTCACGGCCCGGCGTGACGAGCTCGACGCCGAGCTCGAGCTCGCGGTAGCCAAGGCGCGCGCCGAGGCCGAGGCCGCATCTGCGCTCGAGCGCGAAAAGCTGGCCGCCGCCAGAGACGTGGCCGAGACCCGCGCCCGCGCGGCCGAGAAGCTCGGACAGAGCCACGCCAAGGATGCGGCTCGGGCCGAGGCGCGCGCGGCATCGCTCACTCGCGAGCTCGAGTTGATGCGAGCCGAGTCGCGCGACATGGTCGCCTCGTTCGAGCACCAGATGCAGGAGGCGCTCAAGTCTATCCAGGCCTCTAGCGAGACTGCGGCGCCGGCGTCTGAGCTGAGTGGCCTCCGCTCCACCGTGGCGGCGCTCGAGTCGCGGCTGACCGAGCTCGCCCGCGAAAAGGCGGCGTCCGAGGACAAGTTCCTCGGCGCGGTCGATCGGATGAAGGCTCACATTGCGCGGGTTGAGCGTGAGCATGACCAGCTCAAGACCGCACTGGCACAGAGCAAAAAGGTCAACGCCGCGCTCCGCAAGGAGCTCGCGTCGGCCGACGGCGGGAGAAGCACGCTCGAGTTTGCCGAGCTTCGCTCCAAGCTGCATCGCATGCAGAAGCGGCTGGCCGAGCTCGAGGGCGCACCTTAGTGAGCGGGCTGAAGCTGTTACTCGTTGTCGTCTCCAATCTGGAACCACTCGATGGCATACCGCTTGCGGGCGTACTCCAAGACCCACACCCGCGGCGGCTGGCCGCATTCGTCATGTGCTTGCCGGAGCCTGGCCATGATGGCGGGGCTGACGGCGACGTCGCACCGGGTCGCACCGGTGACGTCGTCGGTTAGCTGTGGGTAGCGCGGGCGAGGCGACGCCAAGTCGACCGTGCACGCACTCCGATGGACACGAAAGACGAGCATGGAGGTGTTGGGCCAGGTGGATTTGGCAAAGACTGGCTCACCATCGCCACCGGCGGTCGCGAGAGGAATGCTGGTACATTGCCACATGCGGTGGCCCTGACGGTCGCGCTCGCTGATGGCAAAGATGATATGGAGCTCGCCGTCTTGGGAGATGACGTCGCCGGACGAGAGCATGGAGACACGATCAAGGTATGCGTTGCCGAGCTCGGCCACCTCGGGCTGCAGTTGTTCAAAGCCCGACGCGTCCAGGATCTTGAGATGCGGCAGCGCGGCGATGACCTCCGGCACGGTGTTCCCCGAGTGGAGGGAGCAGTGACTTGTGTCAAGCTCCTCGAGTAGGGGCGCTTGGGTCGGAAGCGCGGTGAGCGCGATGGCATCGATTTGTGTATGCGCCAGCTTCAGGCACTTGAGATGCTTGCGGAAGAGACGGCAGGTGAGAATCTCGGTAAAGAAGATAAAGTCGGGTGTGCACCCCAGAGCTGCAGCCTCGGCGGCCACGTCAAGTGTGCGGAAGAGGCTAGCATCGGCTCCAATTCGGGCCCACTGTAAGCACACCCGCCGCACGCGAAGCCGATCAACCAGTGGCAGCAGACTGAAGATCTCCAGGAGCAACTCGTCCGGGAGGTCGGCAACCACGCAACTGCCGTCTGTGCTCGCGGCGTCCATGGCGGCCGACTCGAGCTCATGCTCGACTCCTGCAATCTCGGCCAGCGCACCAAGCACGACAACGTGCCGTCCTGCGCCTTGCTCTGGCACTGCGGCGGCGCGATCGTGGACGGCCGCCAGCGCACGGGCGAGACCGGTCATCAGGCTGGCCTTGGAATCGTACTCACCGAAAGCCTCGTTCCCGCCGCTCGACCACCAAGACGACTTTGTCAGCCGTGGCAGGCTCCCCAGAATGGGCGAGCTCGTTACCCAGTAGTTCACGCCGTACTCCAGGACGGTGAGCGAGAGGATCAGCACGCGCGGGATGCGGCGGAGGCACGGATTGACGAGGAGAAACGGGGCCAGCTGCTCGGCCACCAGATTGATGACCTGCACCTTCTTGATCACCTCGGTAGTCTCGACGTTGGCGAGCAGCTCGACGACGTCCAGCTCGTCACTCAGCGTATATCCCGTATCATCGCTGAAGTCAAAGGGCTCGGTGTCTTTGCCTGACGGCCGGATCACTACCACGACGAGCGCCTCCGGGTCGACCACCTCCACATGGGTGACTGGGGTGGGAACGGTGAGTGTGTACGGTTCGAGCAGGCGGACAAGGCGGGTAACTGCTGTGATGGGGCTCGGCGACCAGGCTGCCATGGCAGGCAGCAGGTGTGCGTTGGGTGGGGTGGGGGCGGGTGGCTGTGTCGAATGGAAGGGTTTGTGAACCGCATGCCGACGACGGCGGCGGACCGGCAGCGGCACGACGACGATGGAATGAATCACGAGCGCAAGAGCGGAGCGGCAGGTCTGTCGTTGTCATTTGGTGTGCTGAGCGTTTACGGAGCTTGTGACAGGAGCGATCAGCGGCGCTTGGAATGGCGCGAGAGCTTCTTGCTCCCGCGGCCGCCCTTCTTGTTGGCGGCGCGGGCGGCGAGGTTCTCGGTACGCTTGGCCTGCTTGTCGCGGGCAGCCTTCTCGACGACGGCCTTGCGTTCGGCCCATTCCTTGGCGGACTTTGCCTTCTTCTTCTGGTCGCGCTTGATGGACTTGCGCAGCAGCTTGGGGTTGTCCTTAATCTTGACGCCCTGCACACGCTTGAGCGTCTTCTGCCACTCCATGTCCTCGACGATGGCCTTGCCCTTGGCGCCGCCCTCTTTCAGCAGGCGGGCCTTCTCGGCCTCGGCCCGCTCGGCCTGCTCGAGCAGCTTGCGCTTGTTGACCTTCTTGCCGGCCACCAGCGGCTGCAGCAAAGAGGCATCCGACTTAAAGTCAAAGTTGGAAAAGGCGAGCTCGCCCGAGGCCGTCGCCTCACGGGCCTCGCTCGCCAGCCGCTCCACGTCCATGGCGACGGGCTGGCCAGCGGCCTCGGCATCGCCCGAGCCGCTGCCGCTGCCGGCGGCGGCGGATTCCGAGGCAGCCTTCTTCTCCTTCTTCTCCTTCTTCTTCTCCTTCTTCTTCTTCTTGGCCTTGGTCGGGAGGCCGGCCTCGCGAAGCTTCTTCTTCTTGGCCTCGCGATCGCGCTTCTCGCGCGACAGATCGCGCTGCTTGCGCTTCTTGGTGGGCGGCTCAAAGTCGTCGTCGTTGTTGAGCAACGCCTCGGACGCCATGCCAGCACCATTGCCTCCTGATGTCTGACCCTCCTCCTCGCCCTCTCCGCTCTTGGCCTTCATCGCCAGATACCGCGCCGTCTGCCAGTCACACACGCCCGGCAGCATCTGAGCCACCCGCGGCTTGGCCACTCCGGGATACTCGCTGCTGTCGAGGTACGCGTTCGGCGGGAACATGTCGACCATGTTATCAAAGACTACCACCCCCAATCCGCCAGCATCATCCATTCCACACCATCTTCTCCTGTGAGTCCTTCTCCGCCCCCAAGCACTCTCCTTGCCTTGCCCCCCTTTGGCCATGCCCGTCCTCCCGAGTCACCAGCCCCCGTCCGTGGTGGATGCCAAGCGGATCCGTCTCATCCTGGCCATTCGCCATCCTCCAGTTGGAGGAGGAGGAGGAGGGGGGGGGGAGGGGGGGAGGGAAAGAAAGGGGGAGGGGGGATGGTATGTGTATGTGTATGTGTGCGTACACCGGCATGCTGCCCGGATGGACGTCTGCAGCTCTGTCTCCTGCATAGTCACACCCAAGTTCAGTCAAGTGGTGGCTGAGAGGAGGAGACGGAGGCGGCGACCGCTTGCCGCTTGGAGTTGGGGAGGAGGGGAGGGGGGGGGGGGAGGGGGAGGGGGGCATGGGTGGTGGAGGTGATCGGATGGGGGGTTGGCCAGGGGATGGGGATCAGGAGGGGGGGGGGGG